CCAGTCCAGCTTTCGGAAGTGCAGTGAACTCCTTGGATCCCTCTGAGGCCACATGACCACTGACGTGTGCTGAGCTGTTCTGTGTGTGCCTGCCTTATGCAAAGCAGTCACCTTCCTCCTTCCATGTAACACCACCTCACTGCTGAGAAAGCAGCATCCTGTACAAGTGAGAAAAAAAGCTAATTTTATATATGACCCAGGGCTATTCTGTTGTTTTCTCCTATGTGTTGGGGATCTCCCAGCACAGCAGCTTCCCTTTTGAGCTGGAAATATAAGAGCATCTTCCTTGTTAGAATTTGGAACACTGAGGTGACTACAATACCTGATGCCTGTTCCTAAGTCCCCGATCACTGGAGCTCTGATGGAAGAACAGGCACTACTCCCCTGAAAATCACTTTCAGAACTGTTTCTGTTCATGCTGCTGCCAGCATGTCGAATAGCTGCCATTAATCCAAGCCTAATAAAGGAAGGGCTGAAGATGAATGCAAGGTGATGCAGCGATTCCACTAAGGATGAAGGCTCTTTCAGCACATGCTCATGGGTACTTATGTGGTCCAGAGCCAACAAGAGATATTCAATAATGTCCATCTGGGGTCTCGTTAAGCAGCCAACCCTAGCTGTACAGGTTCAGCGATACACTATGTGTCCACAGTAGTGTTCTTGAGCACCTAAGATCTCCTAGTGGATTTTTGAAATGTAAAAGTCAACGGGTGAAAAAAAAAAAAAGAAAAGAACTCACAGCAAGTTTCTGTAAACATGTTAGTTTGACTGGGTGAAGTAAGGCCTCCCTGAGAGCTGTACTTTGTGGAGCTACAATGAGGAACAGCTGACTGTAACAAATCTGTGCAAAAGGCTGGCTGCCTTCATGTTGCTAATTAAAAGCACTACTCCAAATTAAGCCAACTGGTGGGCTAGATGTCAACGGAAGTTATATTAATAGCAGAACTGTTTCCCACTTACTGTCTCTCCAGATATACGAAAGTCATCAAGTCTCCTTGGAGCATTGGCCTGTTACTAACCAACCAGTCCCCCTGGAATGTTCCTAGGTGAAGCAGCAGGCATGTAAACAATGAAGCCTTTCCCCTCCAGGGTCATTTCAAGCAGTTCTTTGTAATGCATAACCGCTCCTCCTTTCATCTGCAAAGCACCTCAGACAAAGGAAGGGTTACAAAGTCTACCCACAAGAGTGAGGACAAGGAAAAAACAGTATTGAAATACTCCAGAAGATTTTAGAATCACTTACTTGAGCTAAGGAGACGGCTCAGCTTGTAAACTGTTTGCCACACAGGGGATCCACTGGATCCTCCGAGTCCGTGTAAATGTCAGGTGAATGTAGCAGCCTATCTGTAACCACAAAGCTCAGAGTGTGGAGGCAAGGGATTTCTGGAGCAAAATGGTAACTGATAGGTTACCAGACTGCCCAAAATAGTGGCTCACTGGTTCCTTAAGTCAAGGTAACCTTCCTATGTGGGAGCTTTCCTTCTAGCACAATCTGTAGGGCTGAATTTGTATATAAATAGTGCTTAAAATTTGTTTTACCACGGAATGCCTTATTTTTTTTCCACCTATGGTAATTAAAAGTTTTGTTGAGTACATTAGTCTGGGCTGGCACCTGTGGTTTCTTAGAGTTTGTAGCGTATCTCTCCAGGCCCTTTTGGCTTTTAGAACCTCCATTGAGAAGACAGGTATAATCCTAACAGGTCTGTCTTTATATGTTACTTGGTCTTTTTCCTTTGCAGTTTTACTATTTTTTCTTTGTTCTGTACGTTTAGTGTTGTGATCATTATTGCCAAGACTTTCTTCTCTAGTCCAGTCTATTTGGTGTTCCCTATGCTTCTTATACTTTCTCCTTTAGGTTAGGAAGCTTTTTTTTTTCAATGATTTTGTTAAAAGTATTTTCTGAGCCTTTGACCAGGGTTTCGTTTCTTCCCTTCCTTACTATTAGTTTCAGATTTGGTCTTTTCATGATGTCCCAGGTTTCCTGGATGTTTTGTGCCAGGGACTTGTTAGCTTTTACATTTTCTTTGATTGATATACCCATTTCTTCTAGTGTATCTTCATTGCCTGAGATTCTCTCTTCCATCTCTTGTGTTCTATTGGTAAAGCTTGTCTCTGCAGTTCCTATCCAAATTCCTCATTTTCTTTCATTTCCAAAATTCTCTCAATTTGGGGAATTTTCAGGTGCTTTGTTTTGTTTTTTTATTGATTGTGTTTCCTTTTACAGGTCTTGAACAATTTTATTTATTTCCTTCCACTGTTGTGTTTCCTGAATTTCTTTAAGGGATTTCTTTATTTCCACCTTTAGAAACCTCTATCTTTTTCATACAGGCTTTTTAAATATTATAATGATTTTTTAATATTTTTCTTTTATTTTTTTCCTTGTGCCTCAGCTATGTTAAGCTATTTAGAGTCTTCCGTGGTAGGGCTGCTGAGTTCTGGTAGAGGCTTTCTGTCCTGGTTGTTACTGATTGTAGATTTACACTGGTGCAAAAAAAAAAAAAAAAAAAGATTTACACTGGTGCCTAAGCATCGGGTTGGGAAAATGATAATTCTAGGTGCTGATACCTGCCTGGTCTTGTCTTTGTTGGGTGGGTGCTTTGTTCCTTGGCTTCTGTTTTCACTCTGAATTTTAAGAAAGTGTGTTGACTGTGTGTGGTCTGCTAGAAAATTTTATGTGTACATAATTGGTGTGGCCACTGGAGGTTCCAGGTAAAATGTGTTTCTGGGAATTGGAAATTGACATTTAGTGATGGGAATAGGCTAGGGGTCCTAAGGAGTCCTATGGGGTCCTAAGGGGTTCACAGTGGGGAGGAAAACAAAGTGTTCTGCCAGGATCTGCTTACTTAGCCTCCTTAGGATAGAGGTAGAGAAGTAGGAGAGGTCACTTCAGAAGATTTGCTATAGAGGTAGGAGTGAACCTGGAGGGTTGGATCGGCAAGAATGGGAGGAATCTGCACTCAGCCTGCGGTTTTGTTTTTTTCCTGGCAAGAGTGGTCTTGTGGGTTAGCAGGGAGAGCCTGCTGGAGCTGGGGATTGAGATAAAGCAGTGAGTGTCCAGAAGGAGATTTAAAAGGGAAAGTTCTGTGGGATCCACGGGGGATGTGAGCAGGGGCAGGGAAGGCTGCAGCCAGTGTTCTGTTTCAGAGTTCTGAGTGAGAAGTGGAAATTGAGTTTCAAGGGGAGGAGGGGGTGGAGACGGTCTTCAGTTGCCTTACCTGTTTCCCAGTCCTGCTCAGCTGCTGTGTTCCCAGGGAGTGCCTGGGGCCTTAGAGGTCCGAATGCTGGATCGAGTTGGGGAAGGGAGGTCAGAGGAGGACATGGTCCTGATCTGTTAGGGATGGGGTCAGAGAGGAAAGGGAGACAGCAGCAGGCATTGGATTCAGCTGCAGACCTGGGGATAAAACCGGGGCACTGGATCTGGAGGAGCAAAAAGAGAGGCTCTGGAGTAGCCTACCGGCTTCCCTGGAAGGAATGCAGATAACACTTTTCAAAGTCAAAATCTCAGGCATTTCTATGTCATATCCCTCTCTTTGTGACCTCTCAAGCTGTAAACAGTAGTCACCCACCCACCTTTAGCTCTGAAACTCTGCTCTGCCCTTCTGCTCCTTTCTGATCTATCCCTCCAACTTCCAGGACTTGGATTAAGTCACTGATCACAGTTCCCTGTTATGGGGCAGGAGGTAGACAGACAGCGGCCACCTTCCCTCTCTTTAGTAAAGGAATCTGGGGAACCTTGTACATGTGAACTTACAGTGACCAAAAGAAGTTTATTACAAAAATTGAATCTGGGTTTCAAAATTCTTTCTGAGATATACAAGAAAAGGAACATACAAACAGGCTTTCATTAAAATCACTTTCTGGGACCAGGGAAGCAGCAGTCTGTAGACTTCTTGCCTACCAGGCACAAAGCCCTGGCTTTAAGTGTCAGCACTACATACATTGTACATGGACATGGTTAAGAGGTGCTTATAATCCTACTACTGGAGAAGTAGAGGCAGGAGGATCAGAAATTCAAGGTTGCTCATAGTCAATTCAAAGTCAGTCTGGGCTACATGAGACCATCTCAGAACCAAACACATACTGGTCTATCATAAAACAACAAAATCCATGTGGTTGTTCTACTTAAACAAGACTTGAAAAGCATCCGCCAATTGTTAATATTTTCAATTTCTCAGCTTCTGGAGAAAACGTGTCAAACAGTATTTTAAATATACCCTTTCTTTGCCCTTTGGCTTAGAGGCACTGTCCCTGACATACTTGGAAAATCAGTAAAGGTTGATCAACTCACATTTGTCTTAATATGGACCTTAAATATATTTTTGCCAAGTTATACTTTGATCAAAGAATAAAATCACAGATCAGTTTGAGTGTGGAAAACATCCCCCCTTTAGCCTTGGTGATAGGACTCATTCTTAATTCAAAGCAATTAACTCAGAAAAAGGTCTAATTTTATTTTTAATTCAAAGACACATATTAATATGTATCCCCTCCGTAGTCCTCTCGCTTGTGATAATTTCCTAGGTACCTTATTTCTAGTAGAAATATCATCATCATGATGAGCACAAGGGACCTGGATGTGTCTTGACTTGATTAAAGGTGTTTAAATATTAAAATATTTCAAAGAGTCCCTTTGAATGCCCCAAATATCTGCCCACTGAGTAGGGCCCCCATAGTACATTCTAGAAGGATGAGTGCCCTGCTTTAGAGAGAAGCCTTAGGGAGGGAGTCTCCTGGGAAGGAGCAGTATGAAGCAGTTATCAGTAACCAGAGCTCCTTGAGGTAGGACTCTACCTCAGGAAGGTTACAGACTAATGTTCTAGAAGTCAGTTCCTTCTACATACCCCAGAGAAATCCATAAGGAAGACCAGCTGCTAAGGCCTACCTAGAGACTTAGAGATGCCACCAGAGTGTATCAGCTTGAGTAACTTATACTGTATTGAGACCTCAACATTTCTTTATTCTCTTCCATCTCAAACACATCCCTTCATTTGTTTCCACAGAGATCACCCCAGATGGGGAGCCTCCAACACAGCCCTAGCAAGATGGCTGCCTCCTGTCTATGAAGATGGCTTCAGTCAGCCCAGAGGCTGGAACCCTAATTTCTTATACCATGGCTTCCCACTGCCCCCGGTTGGTACTCATTTAGAACCTACTTCAACAAGACTGGAACAGGTTTCCCATAATGCTATCATGCTCCCCACAGCCTTGGAGGGCAATGATCTGTTATGAGAACATCCCCTTGTGTTCCCAAACTCCTGAAAAAGTTAGAGCCCTGAGGTGTAACACTTCAGGATGAGGCTCTGAAGTTTAGATACACTCAGCTAGTGGGGAGAACAATTGAGATTTAAAGTCACATTCATCTAATTTTATATATTTCCTATTGATAAGCACTTTAATATTCTTACATAAGTTCTTCTATTCATCAGGTAGAAGACAAGGTTCAGCAATGACACACTTTCTTTAATGAATTCATTCATGCACACTAAATGTGTACAGATGCTGGCTACTGTTTTGCTACCGGAGGAATATTTGGGAGAGGGAATGCATTCATTTCCTACTTGTCCTTTGGTCCAACATTTGTCATTGGGTTCACTGATCTATGTCATCAAAACATGGTTCATTTTAGTCCTAGTTTGACTCTTTGCATCAGCGGATAATGCAATATTTGTTTCTATGCCATATTCCACAACAGAATTCTCAAAATGTATGATAGCAGGCACTCAGATCAGCATAGAGAAAACCAGTACCAGAAGTAAGGAGCTGACCTAGTCAGCTATAGACTGACACCTTAACCATCACAAAGCTCTCCAATAGAGATTCACCCCTGTACATAGTCAGTTTTTTCAGGTATCTTTTTTGTGAGAGAGCCAAGTATTTCCAGTAGTTGGTAAGACCCATCAGGTGGAGTTGGGTACCAAGGTTTGGGGAGAAAGCATAGAACTCATGTCAACCCTTAACTTTCCACCAGATGTTTTCCTTCCTATTGTATGACATTGGACCAGTTCAAATCCTGAGGTCTTTTGAGCTTTATACTGATTCTGAGATTGTACAAATTTGTATTTATTTATATATTATTAACATTTACAAGAATCAGCACTTAAGTGTTTCCATGTAGCCTTTTCAATTCTTGACTATTATTTTTTCATTTCTTGATTTTATTCTAAGATTAATACAATTTTAGTGGCTATACTAATACAAATTTTAAACCTTCGGTTCTGTAGGCCAAAAGTCTAAAATGTCTAATGTCAAGGTGTCTCAGAACTGTGTCCTTTTAGAGGTTCTTGTGGGAAGCCCTCTCCCTTCACACATGTGTTTGTGGTTGGGTGCTAAGCTTCAAGCCCAATGCACATTCAATGCAAGGCAGATGGTCTTACCATTGCCTATCTCTTAAGCCTCATCTTTTCTAACTTCTAAAGGCTACACTATGGCCTACTCTCTGGCTCCTTCACCAAAATCTACAACATGGAATCTATCCATGTCTTTTACCCCAAGTCACAACTCTCTAACAATAGTAAAGAAGGCTCTCAAAAATTAAAGATCCATGTGACTAGACTGAACATGCTTGGAAACCTAGAATAATCTCTGCATCCAAGCCCAAATGTGTCTGTCTTCCATCTTGGTTCTTCCCGATATGACCACAGCAACAGGTCTTTCCGGGGCTCTCCAGAGCTGTGAACAAGAGCCTCACCATGAATTTAAGACCACAAGGTCTCCATGATTGGCCACAGTGCAGTCTAACTACACCATTGCGAGCTATTCTCTTTACCCAGGTACGGGAGGTGACAAGGCACCTCATTCAAGTTTCGAATGAGGCTGTGACCGAAGATGACCAGTACTCTGATTTTCTGCCAGTGTGGGGACAGTACATCGATCACGACATTGCTCTCACACCACAGAGCACCAGCACGGCAGCCTTCTGGGGAGGTGTTGACTGCCAGCTGACCTGTGAGAACCAAAATCCCTGCTTCCCCATACAGGTAATTTCCCTCAACTCTCCATTGAGTATGAAATGACATATGACTTTTAAAACATTAAACAGAAAAGCTTGAAATAAAATGTAAAGTCTTCTTCCCATGCCCTCCCTGTCCCCAGGAGCTTCCTCCAGATATACGCTCCTTGGACATTCAACGCACCCCTGTTCACAATACCATTTTATTTGTGCAACTTATCCCATAATTCCCAGACCCTCCGTGCGCATGCTCTGAACCAGGGATTGCCACTCAGCAATAAGTATTACCCCTTGCCCATCATCTAATCAACACAAATTTATTTTATGATTGAAGATTCTAAAAGGACCGAAGAGCTGGAAGTGACATCCAGTCTCCCCTTTGCCACAGCTTCCTTCAAACTCCTCAGGGACCACTGCATGCCTGCCTTTCTACCGCTCCTCAGCTGCCTGTGGCACTGGGGACCAAGGAGCACTCTTTGGCAACCTGTCTGCAGCCAATCCGAGGCAGCAGATGAATGGCTTGACCTCCTTCCTTGATGCTTCCACTGTGTACGGGAGCTCCCCTGGCGTTGAGAAGCAGCTGCGCAACTGGAGCAGTCCCGCGGGGCTGCTGCGTGTCAACACTCTCCACCAAGACACTGGCCGTGCCTACCTGCCCTTCGCATCAGCCGCCTGCGCTCCAGAGCCTGATGCTCCACGCGCCACCCGCACGCCCTGCTTCCTGGCTGGCGATGGTCGTGCCAGCGAGGTCCCTGCCCTGGCTGCGGTGCACACCTTGTGGCTGCGGGAGCACAACCGCCTGGCTGCCGCTTTCAAGGCCATCAACACACACTGGAGCGCCAACACTGTCTACCAGGAGGCACGCAAGGTGGTAGGGGCACTGCACCAGGTGTGTGGCTCCGTGCAGGGGCAGTACAGACAGGAAAAAGTGGATGCTCCTTCCCTATGTCTGAAAGTGTGTGTGAGTACCCCAGGGGTGTGTTAGGAAGGGTCACTGCAGGCTTTCCAGTAGCTTGCATCGGGACCACCATGGGCAGTTTTAGTTTCTGGCAGGATCACCTTGGGATACTCAAGCGGGGACTTCCAAAGTACAAGTTTATGTGAGCAAAGAGATTCTAATACCAGGAGGCTCCTTGTGGCTTTGTTGTCCAAGTCCTGGGTCATCTATAATAACCATAAAGCCACAGACCTCCTGCACCCACAACTGTACCCAGCAGTAGACTCTTCAGTGCCTGCCGGCTGGTACTTGGAACTCGCAGAGCCGAACAGATTATAGCTCACAATACTCTTTGTAGCAGCCCTGTAAGGTGGGTGTATAGATGAATTCTGGCTTATTTGTGGGTTTGGTGATAATGAAGTTCCTAATCATTCTGTCACTTTAAACTAAAAGTCAGTTTTTAGATCTTTATTTTATGATTCTTTTAAAAAGCCAAAGGATCTTAAATGGAGATTCCTGTTGGTTGTTGATCAGTTGTGTAAGAGAAAAATCATACTAAAAAATATGCAGTAGTGACTGACTTCACAGTCTCCCTGGGTTGTGATGGAGGACTGATTCACTTTACTCTATACTAACCCTCTTCCTGTGTCAGGTTAGAACAGGCTCTGTGCTGGGCACTTGGCATCATGCCTGTGTCCTCATAGAGACCCTGTGGAGAAGATAACTTCAATCTTGCCAGCAAAATAGGAAGTGAGTGTTGTCCTCTTGTACACAGTTACAAGGGGTAGCCTGGAGTACCCTACCGTGGCCTCAGGCACCTTAGGACCAGGCCTTAGTCTTTGTGTTGTTAGGAGACTATGAGCACCCAGAGGACATGAAGACAGACAGCATTCAGGGCTGGAACATCTTTACCGACCCCACAGGAGCAGTCAAACACTCCAGGACCCATGTGTACACAGCGGTGCACACTGGGTGTCTGTCAGCTCTGGTCAAGGAGTCATGTGCTCTGTGTATACTGTATCTATGCTCGGTGTTTGTGTGCTTTGTGTGTCTGTGTGGTGTTTGTCACGTGAGTTTAAATTGTGCTGTGCATCTGTTCTGTGTGTATGTTTCTGTAGTGGATTGTATTTGTGTGTGTTCATTTATATACATATGTCTGTGTGTGCCTACACTGTGCTGGACTAGAGAAGAAGGTAGAAATGAGGATATACGAAACTTTGAAACGGAGGCTCATCATAAACTCTGAGTACAAGGTGCTTCACGGAGCAGCCCTAACTTTGCTTGGCAGGCATACGTAAACAGGTACTTCTGTTGTTTTAGGAACTTCACATCAGTATCTATGAGGAGGGTGGAACCAAAACAGTTTGGTATAGTAGCTTTCTAACGTGATCGGAGCCTCAAAGCCCTGCCATTTTTAGAGAGCTGGCCAGACAATGACTTCTTTGTTGAGCGTGGGATGTCAGTCCATAGCAACAGGAGCCCCCATCCCCAAAGTTGGATATCTTCCCCTTGTCTTGTGAGATGAATCTGTGATGATTCTCTCCCTGGTCATGACTTCCAGACCTGGCCAATGGTGAGTTTCAGTTTGTTTGGAGTTTTCCCTTCTCTGAACATAAGAGTCACAGGTTCAAGGATTGTTGCTTCATTCTTCTTCCCTCATAGTTGGGATGTGCTGGCAAGGGTAGGTGCCTCATGAATATGTACTGAGTTTCTCTAGAGGTGCAGGTCCCAGGGATCATCCCAGAAGTGTCTTTCTCTGCTGCCTCCTTTAGGGGTCATATTGTCTATGTAAGGATTAGCAAGTCATCCAAAGAAGGCCCAAGAAGATGCTGCACACAGGTTCACAACTGGCCATTCGCATGTACAAAAAGGCTATGGTGGGTGAGGACTCTGGTTCCATGTTTCTTCTTAGTGAAGTTCTATAGTACTTGAGGTGTGAATCACTGGGTATGTCCTTACATGAGCTCAGTAGTTGTAGAATGGAGGGTTTAATTCTGCATATCTGAAGGTATTAGCTGATCTGAACATTAGTCACCCAGCAGCCTATTCTCAATAGGAAAGTGCTAGTACCGTTAATAAACAGGAAAGATGCTCTCTAGATTTGTGTATCATCCTCCTCAGACTAGTGTTCCCCCCTTACATTCCTGTGGGTTGTACTCTTGCCTAATGGGTATGTGGACTGTGTCCTCCTTTGGGAACCTCATGAATCCTATAATGATCTGTCCTAAGGATGCCCAGGCAGAATTCCTTCCTATTGCTTAATCTTTAACCTTTGCTTGGCCTACAGGCATTCCTGGGCTGTGTTGACCACCATCCCTGCTCAGAGAACATCTCTCTCCCCTTCTATAGATCATCACCATGAGGGATTATATCCCCAAGATCCTGGGTCCCGATGCCTTCAGCCAGTATGTGGGCCCCTATGAAGGCTATAACCCCACTGTGAACCCTACTGTGTCCAACATCTTCTCCACTGCTGCCTTCCGCTTTGGCCATGCCACAGTCCATCCTCTGGTGAGACGACTAAACACTGACTTCCAGGACCACACAGACCTCCCCAGGTTGCAGCTGCATGATGTCTTCTTCAGGCCCTGGAGACTTATCCAGGAAGGTATGCCCATCTTCCTAACTTAATCTGACAGCTAAGTACAAGTCAGGGTAGCCCGACATGAGCCTTCACTTTCCACGCATGTGCTATCTAATTTATCAATATTTGGAGGGAATAAAAAGCCTTCTCCCTGCGTGTGTGTGTGTGTGTGTGTGTGTGTGTGTTTGTGTGTGTGTGTTTCTGTTTGTTCAGGTGCATGTGTATGCAAATAAAGGCTGAAGGACAAACTCAGATGTCATCCTTAGGAAAGGAATTCACTTCCATCGAGAAAGGGTCTTGAATTGATCCAAAGCTCACCAATTAAGCTAGACTGGCCCAACAAGCCACAGAAATCCCTGTCCTTGCCTCCCCAACACCAGAATCACAGCCAATACAGCCTACAATTATTCTTCTGGGTTCTGAGGAACAAACTCGGGTTCTTGTGCTTGTCATGCATCACACTTTACTGACTGAGCCATACTCCCACCCCTGTCCCCCATTTCCAGTCCAGTGTTCAAAGTTTTGTAAAAGGTAACACATCTGTGAGAAATGCCTTGACTCACATTGGGAGCTCTTCAGAGCTCAGAATAGATTATCCAGGTAGAGTACACTCTCTTTGTGTTTGTAGACAGAGAAGTAAAAGTGTCCTGGTAATCATGCCTCATAGATTCTGTTGTCATGTCTTAATCATTAGGCACTATGCCTATTCTCTGGTGAGACCAGCACTGTGAGCTTTAGGATGCTGGAATTTGAAACCAAAACCAAAAAACAAACAAATAACAATTATAACAAAACTCTGCAGCTCTCTGGTTCTACTCTGGAGGATTGTTTTCATGCTTCCCCACAGTTTTTGTTCTGCTCATCCCCATCCCTATATTCTTACTGTCCCTCTGATCATTTCTAACCTGTCTCAAAGGTAGGTAAAGGGACAGGTTTAAGAGTAGAGATGACGGCAGCTGGCATCATTTCTCTCCCCACTGATCATCACATTGCCTTCATGCAGAGCATGGGGAGAGAGGTTTGAGGTCTTCCCAAGTCACTCTACCCAGTTCAAAATGCATTATACACTTGCCATTGTGTAGGAGTCGGGGAGGGTGAGGTAACCCAAGGCAACTGGCCTCTCAGTAGATGTTATAGGCATGCAGTTATGGATTCATGTAGCTAAGGAAGGCAAGACCTGGGAAATGGCTGTTTTGCTTCCTTTGAGGCATTCTGTGAGGATGGCCCAGACTCCAGTGGGTTACAGAGCAAGGTTCTTGAGAAACTGAGAGTTTGCCAAACCAGGCTACATCTTACTACTCAAGGCAATGGAGGCCAGTGAATATTTCCTTTGACTCTAAACATTCTACTGCTGGGAAATAAATAATGATGAATATGAGTAATGTCACCTTGCTTAGGTCTTGTCCCTGAGGTGTTGAAGGTGCATCCTTGGCACATGGTTGCTATTAATGGCAGCATCCTAAGGAACCTGGAAATCTTGGAATTGTATAAGGTAATTTGGTCAAGGTGCACAGACATTTAAGAGTAAACAGGCCTTATAACTGAGAATCTATCCTGTGTACCCAGAACTCAGCAGGGACCTAGGGACCTCTCTGATTTGTACGTGATGTCTTTCAGGTGGTTTGGATCCAATAGTGAGAGGCCTCCTGGCAAGACCAGCCAAGCTGCAAGTACAGGAGCAGCTGATGAATGAGGAGCTGACCGAGAGGCTCTTTGTGTTGTCTAATGTGGGCACCTTGGATCTGGCATCACTAAACTTGCAGAGGGGCCGGGACCATGGCTTACCAGGTTTGTCAGGTCTCTAGATGGTGTACCTCAGTGTGAAATGAAGGAAGAACTGACTGTGTCAGTATCTTGTATAAAGTGAACTATATCTACAAATCTATTGCACTGCTAGCATCAAAGGAATAGATACATAAGTTTTGTTTGCTTATTTGATTATTTGGTTGGTGTTTGTGTTTTTAGATAAGGTTTTGCTATATAGCTCAGGCTAGCTTCAAACTCATGACTCTTCAGCTCCAGCCGCCCAAGTAACTGGGATTATAGGTATGTATGCAACCTGTAACTAACTACACACTTGATGTCGTCCTCCTGAGTAATTTTTCCATCACTGCAGCCTTCAAAGGGACTGTAGCAACTTGGATCTGGAGAGCATATACATACTGGGAAGTTATAAAAAAGGTCCCTTCTGTGAGTGTTGGCAGGCCACATACTTTCTGTGTTTCACCCTGAGCTCCAGGTGTACTTGCTTTCTCCAAGCTGTTGCAGCATAGTCTGCTGCTTATGGCCCCTGAGAAAGTTCTCTTCCAGTATACAAGTGTAATTCATCCACTCTTTGTGCTTCAATTATCCTGAGAGTAAATGAGCCTTCAAGTGGATATTTAATGACGTAACTCCTATATTTCCCCAACCTCTGGGGCAAGCAGTGAGAATACATGTTTTCATAGAAATCAAATTCACTGCTTTTATTTTGCTTGCCATGAGATTATAGACTCTCTGAGGGTCTGGCCCAAAGCAGTCTGTAATGGAGTCAGGACTCAGGAGACAGGAAAGGAGAAAGCTGTCATCTTACAAGATGGCTCCTCAGAGGCATGATTGAGGTGACCCAACTGAAACTGAAGAACAAAGAGGGGACTTCCCAATGAGCTACCACTTACCAGGTCCAGCTCTGCATAGCAGATACTGAGTTGAGACAGAGCAGTTTTGTTGACCAGGAAGCTCAGGAGCTATGGCTTTGAAAATGTGGTATGGTGCTTGGCTGCATCAAATATCAATGCAGACACACACACACACACACACACACACACACTCTCTCTCACACACTCATGTACACATAGGCACATACATGCACATAACCACACACATCAAACACACAGCTACATTAAACAGACCCCAGCTTCTCCTGAATCAAGACAGAGGGAACTGTCATCCTCAAGCTCCCACCAATACCATCAAATGGCAGTGCTCATAGACCACAGATTTTAAATCTCACTGGTGATTTTTTTCCTCCTTTTGGCTTTTGTTTGCTGTAACCTGCTACTTCTGTGGTTTTTCCCAGGAGCTAGATGCTCCCACAGCCCATTCAATGGCTCAGCAAGGCTCTTGTCACTCCAGCATCCCTTCTCAGACACTCCAGAAGATGCACCAAAATTTCTTCAGATTCTACCTTAGCCACACAACATGAGTCCCCAAAGTTTTTATCCCAATAATGCCTCACCACCCCATGAAGACCGGGCCTGGTCCTCAGTGCCTTTCTCTATGTGTGTTTATACAACACTTGCTGGGGGTCTAGGTGCAGAAGCCAGTAGAAATAACACAAGGCAGACTCTGACAGAATGCTGATGGCAGGATGGACAGGCAACGGGAATGATGACAAAGAACTTGGCTGTCTGCTAAGTGCCTCAGGGTGGAGTCCCATAGCAGATGGTGACTGGCATTTCCCATCACTTTCAGGAGGAGGAGGAGAGACTTCTAGAAGAAGTATAGATGAGAAGGATGAGGCCAAAGGCAGCCTGTAAGGAGGGTACTGTAAGATCATAGCCAGTGAAGAAAGCAACCCAGCAATGCCAAAGCACTACATGTAGGGCCAATGAGGAGTGAAAGATGCTGGGACCAGGAGGCCAGGGATGGGCTTTTCCAGCAATGATGAAATCACCCCCAAGTAGGTAGAGAGTATGTAGTATTAGAGACAGTGAGAAGAGGAAAGATAGGCATGTACACGTGTGTGTGTGTGTGTGTGTTTGTATGTCTGAGTGTGTGTATGTGTGGGTAAGATGAGTGTGCCTAAGTATATATAAAAGAGTGTATGTCTGTGAGTGTGTCTGTGTAAGAGAGTGTGTGTTTATTAGTATGTGTATACGAGAGTGAATATATGTGTATGTACAGTAGAGTATGTGTCTGAGTGTTTATGTGTGAGTGTGTAAGAGAGTGTGTCTTGTGAGTATATGTGTGTAAGAGAGCATATGTCTGTATGTGTAAGAGAACGCATGTGCCTGTGACTGTATCTGTGTAAGGCAATATGTGTTTATGAGTGTGTATGTGTATAGAGGTGTCTTGAGTGAGTGTGTATATAAGAGAGAGTATGTCTGTGTGTGAGTGTGTATAAAAGTGTGTCTATGAGTGAGTGTCTATAAAAGAGTGTGACTGTGTTTATGAATATATGTGTAAAAGTATCTGTATTTGTGTGTGTATGTGTGTGAAAGAGACAGAGAGAGAGAGAGAGAGAGAGAGAGACAGAGACAGAGACAGAGACAGAGTCAGAGAGATGAAGACTAAACAGAGAGGGTGGGGAAAAGTGTCCTTGTATGCTCTTGTTCTCCATCAGCTGCCAGTGTCCTTCTGGAGCACCAGAAGCTCTGAGAAAGATGTGACCTGTCAGCATAGTTCCACAGGGAAAGACTGATCCAGTCATAGTACCAATCCACTGAAGTGTTTTGACTTGGCACCCTTTCTAACTCCAGTTCACCCCAAACTTCTCTCCTTATAAGAGTTTCAAGTCTATGCTACATGGTCTGTCCTGTTGAACTCCATAGCACTGAATGTCATGCCACAATAGCAGGGTCACTCTGCAGCAGGGACTAGCAGACAGGGCTGTGTCTCTACAACACTGGCTTCCAGAGATCAGTAGAAGCCATGGGTAGACTGGTGACACGTAAGTCTCTGTAAAGACAGACCTATCCTCTCCTTCTTGTACAGGCTACAATGAATGGAGAGAGTTCTGTGGCTTGTCACGACTGGAGACACCAGCTGAGCTGAACAAGGCCATTGCCAACAGAAGCGTGGTCAACAAGATAATGGACTTATACAAGCATGCTGACAACATTGATGTCTGGTTGGGAGGCCTGGCTGAAAATTTCTTGCCGAGGGCCCGCACTGGTCCTCTGTTTGCATGTATCATTGGGAAGCAGATGAAGGCTCTGAGGGATGGGGACAGGTCAGTGCATGTGGCAAAGTACATATGGTATGCACTCTCAGGTGTAGCACAGTGGTCCATATTAGGCTGTATGGAGCAGCAAGGTCTGGGCTCAAGTGCTTAAGTGACCCTAGATAGGTTTTCTCTCAAACATAAAATCCTTGATGATAAAACAAATTTTCACCACACAAAAGGACTATAAGACATATACAATACCTTGTTCACTTAAAAACATGACTGTTGTTTTCCCATATTGCTGGTCATGTGGATGAAAAGGCATGTGACAAAGCTCAAACTGTGACAATCTCCAGTTTCCATCTTTGGCCTTTCACTGACACCATGAGCCCTGAATGGATGGGCCTACCTTGATGCAGATGTGGACCCTGCCAGTGCCCAGGAGCAGTCTCTACCCGGACACAGTCAGTCCTGCCTCCCCACCATGCCTCAACGTCCAGCCCCTCACAGTTACCTGCCCTTGCACTCGCTCCTTCCTCCATTTCAGCCTAAATGTTTGAACTTCATGCACCCAGAGGAGAGTAGAGACCTTGTAGTATGACCCCAGATAGTGATCAGAGCAATGTAAAGTATGAACCATTACAATTATGGAACCATACATTAAAAAAAAAAAGAATCTTTTCTTTCTGGTATTTTTTTAAGTAAGCAACTGTTTTCATTTTATTAACTTATTTATTCTTGTGTTTATTTATTTATTTATTTATTTTATGTATATGAGTACACCACAGCTGTCTTCAGACACATCAGAAGAGGCATCAGACCCATTAAAGATGATGATTGTGAGCCACCATGTGGTTGCTAGAAATTGAACTCAGGACCTCTGGAAGAGCACTCAGTCCTCTTAACCTCTGAGCTATCTCTCCAGCCCTCTTTCTGGTATTTTTAACAGTCCCCACATACTGGATTCTCTGTCTGCCTGCCTCCACCCATCTCTCTTCTCATCAGAATGCTTCTCAGGCATACCTCAGCTTTTAGCCACATCCTTAGGATTCTTTCATTACATTTGCTAGAAATATTGCCATTAATTTCTGGGATACAGCGCTTCTCACACCTGAGATACCTGGAAGAAACCCTAGAGATTTTTATCTCCCTTGAAACTGTGTCTCTAGAAAAATGATGTGGCTTGACATAATTAGGACAGGAGAAGACACAAACTTAGGAGGCAGCTCATTTCCTAAACTCCCTTGAGTATGACATGGCTTCGGGGTCATGTTCAATGGCAAAGTCCAAGATTCTCTGGCAGATGCTGGAGTGATACAGGGATTTTTCACCCTAGTGTTTATGACTGAATATCTCCAAAAACCAAAACTTCAACCAACCAACTGATATAGAGGAGACTTCTTCTCATGTTGTCCTGTACATCTGGAGTCCTTTTGCAGGTTTCAGCTCCTTCTCCCCTCCTAAGGGAATGTGTTCCCAAGTAGAAATGAAGATATGGTTTATATGGTAAATGGCTGTGGAAAATTGGAGCTTTGTTCATATTAATATTGGTATTCTGAGAGCTAACATTATTTTCTTTCTCTCTGATGTCCCTGGCCTGGGTGGGGGGTGGGGGGTAGGGACAAGAACAAAACTTGGACCTTGGACTGAAAAGCCCGTCTTCCTGTGGCTGACTTGGCTGTTGCGGCACTCAATTCTGAGGCAGGGCTGCACCCATACAGAATCATCACAGCCATTCTACTACAAGTTGGTCAGCTTGTGGCCCATCCCACATACAGGCTCACACCTTCCACAATGGCTGATTCTCGTGGGCCCTGCATGCTGTGGCTTCCCTATGACAGGATTCTCCACGGGAGTATTGAGTGCATGAGGAAACAGATAGCAGAACATCCCACCCCATTTTCTTGCTCTCTCTTGTGCAGGTTTTGGTGGGAGAACAGCCATGTCTTCACAGATGCTCAGAGGCAGGAACTAGAAAAGCATTCACTCCCCCGCGTCATCTGTGACAACACTGGCCTCACCAGAGTACCTGT